AAAAATAATAGAATTGTAAACATGAAGAGGAGGCGGACACGCCATTTTCGTCAAAAACTAGGCCACACTCCTCAAAATCATCGAAAGAAAATCCTCTGTTCCAGTGATTAAACAGCAGCTATCTTGCATTCCGAAATCAAATTCAATTCATTCTTTTTTCTCCTTCAAGAGAGTTAGAAAAGCGGGAAAAGAAAAAATGAATTTTGCTCTCAAAATCTCACCTTCCTCAATTACTTCATTACCCAAAGTGTTCCCATCTAATTGTAATTCCCATAAAGTTTCATGGATTTTCCCCGAACACGTTTACAGAAATCACCCAAATGTCACGGGTTCTCGACCATTTTCTTCGCCCCGGGTCAGTAATAAATTTTGCATTTTGGTTCCTGCTTATTATCCTTGTTCTTGTTAATTTTAATTGGCTTTAGGGTTTGGATTTGTTTAAATAGACATGTAAATTTTGAGTTTGATTTTTTTCTTTAAATTAGTGCTAAAATCCGTTTTAAGGTTGTTGAATTGAATGAAGCAGGTTGAGCTTGTGATTAGTATATCAATGTACATATAAAGGAAAAATGAGAAAAAATGATATAAGATGAATATAGGTTGTTCTGAAAATCCTCAACAAAGACGTCTACAAGACGATGTTCTCTTCATTCAAGAAGAGCTTTAGAAGATGTTTATAGTAAAGCAAGAAGATTGGTTGCATAGAAATAGAGCTTTTATCAAGAATTGGGTCAATTGATTTTAACACGCTGTACATGTTAAATTACTAGTTTCCAATTTTATATACGGGAATATGATTATTATGTATAGTAATAGAGTCATCATTGAGTTGTGAAACTCCTGCAAGAAAGATAAAAATTTGGCATTACCAGCAGAACACACTATAGATTTTATAATAACTATGTTTTTTATTGTTAGAAGTTGATGCATTTGACTATAGGTCCGAGTTTATGAAATTATTCAGTGAAAAATGGAAATTAAACGCGCAAGGCTGAGTAGCAAAAATTGTTCCCTTGCTATGTTGAGGAACACTTATATAAGATCTTCTTCATAGTTGTTGAGTTGACTAAAGTCTTTTTGAGTTACTAAGAATTAGCAAAATAGAACTGCAGATTTTGGTGGTATGCAAACACAGCTGTGTGTATTTGATTGCATGTTTTTTGGTGTTAATATAAAGTAGTGTACTCTGGTGCTTTACACTAGGAAGCTGACCTAGACTCGAAAGCTCTGATGGCGGATAATATCTAACAAGGATGAAAATGCAGGGATAATATTTGCTATATGTTAAAATCCTTAAGCTTACGAGGATATTTGAGTTTAGTTAATTATCTAGGAAGCTGACCTAGATATAAAGTTGTGTACTCTGGTGCTTTACACTAGGAAGTTGACCTAGACTCGAAAGCTCTGATGGCGGATAATATCTAACAAGGATGAAAATGCAGGGATAATATTTGCTATATGTTAAAATCCTTAAGCTTATGAGGATATCTGAGTTCAGTTAATTATCTAAGTACGTTATGTTGCAATATGCAGTAATGAAAATTTACAAAAAATTGATTTGATAAACTATTGATATAATACATGTGATT